AAAGATAATTATATTTTTGATATTGATATTAAAAGTAATAGTAGATAATTATATTTTAGATTAATTTATTATCTATATTAATTAGTCTTTTTTTTTATTAGAATTGTATACATATTCAGGAGATTGCCTATTATCTGAGCTTATATATAAAAACCTTTATTATAAGTTTTTATATGATAATGATTTATATCTAATATAAATATTGTTTTAATATTTAATTTGTTTTTATTAATAATAGACTTATAACTTAGTTTATCAGTGCGTATATTATATCAATACATACACCACTTCAAAATACACTAAAATTAATCTTTTATTAATATTTTTATTTAAATCATTAAATATTTTTTTTTTTTCTAAAAAAGTTTCCTTATGAATAATAAAAATGAAATATTTATAAAATTTAATCTTTTTATAAATATCTCAATTATAACTCAAGAATGTCATACTTTATATTACAAAAATCTATTTCTTTAAATAACTTTTTTATTATTATAAGATTTTACTATTTTAATTCATTTTTATATTATTTATATAAATAAATATAATATATATAAGGAAAAATTAAATTATATCAATAAATAAAGAAAATGTACGGTTATACACGGCCGTTTTTTGTATGTAAATATAATGGTGTATGTACTGATATAGTGCACGTACTGATAAACCACGTTATCTCTTATCCTTTTTGAATTAATTTTTTATATATGATAATCGATGAGTCTTCTTAAGTAATTCCTTAACTAATAATAATATATTTAAAATTCTTTTTATTTAAAATTATTCTCGAATTATTAATAAATTTGTAGTTAATTATAATAAATAGATTATTAATATTTAAATGATATATAATATATTTCGAGAATAATATTATATGATATAATAAAATAATATGAAAAAAAAAGAGTTATATTTAATCAATTTATATATGGGTTATAATATTAAAGCTATAACAAGTTAAAAATAACTAATATATCGGGAGATAATTTAATAACAAAAAATAATTAAATTTTATAATATAATTCTATAATTATATCTATAATAAAATATTCAATAATAATATCTACAACTTTACTATCTGTTAAGTAAAGTTCTTTTTAATAAAACAGAATTTAAATATATATCTTATAATTAATAACAAAAGATTAATTTATAAATACTTTTCTAAAGTATTTACTATTAATTAAATTAATTATATTAAAAGAAGATTTATATGCTAAAAATATAATAATTTTAATAAATAGAGATTTGCTATTTATAATATTAAGCTATAAAGGCTCTTTACTAATAATAACTTGTCTTATTTATTCAATATTCTTTAATAATCTCTATAAGTAATTTAATATGAAGATTGAGTTTTTCTATATAATTATTAATTAGAGATATTAATATATTATAGAATGAAATATTAGATATACTTTTTAAAGGTATTAAAGATTTAGTTTTAATAAATCTCTAAAATATATTCAATTATTATTTAAAATAGAATATAATATAAATACTATTATTATTATTATTACTTTAAAAACCATATTTCTAAAAATCATTTTAATTATAAGATTCACTTTCATATTAATTAGAATATTAATTGTTTTGATTAGTAGAAGTATTTCAATATAATTTACAATTGTTAAAACCTTCTTAGGGACCCGCAAATCCTAGGCTTTCTTTAGCTATTTGTTATATATTCGTTTATTTCTTGATATTATGATTTTATATTAAGTGATTAGGTTTCTTGTAATAATGGTAGAGATTAAGTTAACATTCTTCTTCTTATTATTAATCTTATATTCTAAAAGTATTAAGATCTATAGAATCAGATAATACTAGTATAATGAATAATATATTAATTAAAGATATATAATATTATATAAAACTCAAGTTTGTTTTTAATTTCGAAAAGTATTTATTTTTTTATAAATTCTAACTTCAAATTTTAAACTTTTATTTCCAATTATTGATATTAGTAAAAGAATAAGAATTAAAATTTTATATAAATAATTATTAAAGATTATAGAAGATTTTCATTTTTATTATTATAATTATTTTATATAATTATTTATAATATATTATATTAAGATATTTTAATTGAATATAAAAAGTCGAAAAAGATATCTTATTAATTATCTTGAGTTTATTAAATCGGATCAAGACTTTATATATTATATTAACTAAGATATAAAGTTTATTAAATTTATTAAAAAAGGAATTGTTAATAATATAAATCGAGATTCTATTAATAATATTATTTATATTAATTAATTTCTTTTAATATATATAATTATTAATAAAAAAGATTAAATATAAAAACTTCTTTTTATTTATATTGAAAATAATTGAATCAATTATTCAGTAGATTTATAAGTTTTATTTTCAAATAATGTATTCTTTTTATTAAGATATTAATTCTATTTTCTTTTCTTGAAAGAGCTTAGAGTTCTTTGAAGTTTGTTATTAATTAGTTTTATTTTAAGCAAAAGCATTTAATGTATTTTATATAATTTAAGATTATAATAATTAAGTTAATTAAAATTGAATATTTAATTAATTATTTATAATAATTTTAAGGAGATACTTTATAATTAAATTTTATTTAGGTATTTATTAAATAATAAAAAGTGAATTGAATATATAATTAATAATATTATATATATAATTAAAATAATCCTATTAATTTTGTATTAATATTAATAAAGGAAAAGGATTATAAAGTTTATAATCCTAAAAGCTAAATAGCTTTTCTATAATTTATTATTATTAATTAAAAGTATTATTGATTTTAATTTTAAATATTTTAGATAAAACAAATAATAATAAATTAGTATTCGAAATACTTAATATATTAATTATAATGAGTAAAAAGAATAAAATAAAGATATAAATAAAAATAAAAATAAGAATAAAGATAAAAACAAAGATGAAGTGGTATAAAAGGTGTAAAAGATTATGAAAATTATAAAAGGATTTGTTTTAAGTAGGTAAAAACAAAAATAAAGAATTTCTTTTCAAAGTTAAATTACTTTTATTATAATGAAATTCTTTTATAGAATAAAATATATTATTATGATATAAGAGATAACTATTAGGTAAGATGTATAATATTCTATAAAGAGTGAAGAAGAAGGCGGATGTTACGACGACATCTAACATACCGAGTCACCTGATCAGAAAGTCACGGGATTAGAGATTCCCACTGGATCCCACTGCTCCCACCTGGTGGGACACGATGGGATCAATGGGACAACAAGGAACGAAGGTCTATATAAGGGAATGGGTTTCATTACAATGTAGAGCTTCGTGCTCAAGAACAATTACTAGTTTCATTACTATAGTTACGAGAATTGCAATTAGTTACAACTTTATTGAATTCCTACTTGAAGTTTAGTCTAAACCACCTCGAGAGAACTCTAGACACTTCCATGTGATCCTAGAGGCAGCTCCCGTAACAGCGGAGAGATTCCGACTATATAGAGGGTGGATGCCTTAGGTATCCGTATAACTACGTATTGAACCCGTGACAATAGCTTTTTAAGTATATTATAAAGAAAATAATATTATATATTTATGTTTACCATTATATTCAAATTATTTAATTTATTTATTTAATATTAATTATTTTAATAATCTAAAATGTTTATATAATAATCAAATTAATAGATTTATTAAAATATATATCAATTATATTTTAAAGATTGAATTCTTTATAGCTTTTAAAACTATATATAAAGAATTAATTATCTCTTAGAATATAAAATCAAAATTCCAAAGAATAGATTTAATTCCATTTAATTCTGAAATTGTATTTTTAAAATTAAATATTCAAATTTATATATTTATCCTTCTTTCTTTTGATTTAAATTTATAAATCTCTTAAATCCCTTATAGTCTAATAAAAACTCTTTCTTAATTAATATTAATTAAATCTCGAATAACTTGTTATCAATTAAGCTCCTTTATATTTATATTCAAAATTATATTAGTTCTAATTAAAAGTATAAAAAGATTAGTTTATGAAAACATACTTTTAACTATAAAGATTCATATATTTCAAAAATCAAATGAAACATTAAGTAAACATCGATATACGAAAAAACTCAATTATATTAAAAAGAAGTGTTTACTAAATAAAAAGCTTTTAATATATTATTTCAATAAAAGATTGATATTCAAATTCAACATAATAAACATTAAAAAGAAAGGAATTCTAATAAGGAAGTATTTTCTAATTAATATTATAGTAAATATAGAAAGATAAATTATAATTCAAGAATTTATCAAAATAATATAATAGATTCTAAATTATTAGATTCTTAATAGTTTTAATTAATTAATTCAATTGTTATTAAATAATATAGATTTGAAAGTATAAATTGAAATAAAAGTGGGCTATATGTTGATATAGGCTATATGCTAATAAACTACGTTAATCATTTGTTTTGTTTTGTAAGTTCTTTCCGTGAATTAAAATATGGCGTAGTTAATGGGGTTGTTTTTGGAGAGGCAGATAAACCTGTTGACGAGTAGGAATCTCGTATTCAGGCCTTTGCTTCTTGAATACCTTGAAATGGGTATTGCCACAGTATGAAGCCTAATATGGCTTGCAGTTAATGGCCATTTTTATCTACCTTCCAGAATCCGGGATTTTACGACCATCCCCAGATTTGACCTATTTTCAGTATGACAACAGCATAAATCGAGATTAGTTGTGATTCTCTCATTCTTGTTGGGTTTTCCCCAACGCTCACATTTTACAATGCTCAAGAGTCGTAACATCTCCGTGTGAAATCCACACATCAAATTAGTAGGTAGTAATCTGCTCTTGATGTCACCTCGTGGTTAAAATTGTATCCCCAAAATCTTTGTGTCTGTTCTCTGTGTACCCAGATGGACTTCCTCTGCACTTTCGGTTGTTGAGTTGACAACGACACCATATACTACCTATGGATGTGTCTTTCGACAACTAAAGTCGTTAAATAAGGCTACTTCAGTTTTCATTCACGATGGGTAACTGTCTCGCTCGCCTGGAGGCCGAAATGGTTTCACCTCCTCCCATCCCTGAAAATTGGAAAGACCTTGGACCTCGGAAAGCTCTTCTTCGCAGTCCACCGGATGCACAGGCTAGGAGAAGATGTAAGAGAGAGAATGGAAGTGATGGATACGAAGAGGGGAATAGACTGCTTTTAGTAAGGAGGGAGACATCGAGTGGCATTAAGGGTCTGACCTTTGATTATGCGGGGAGGCCTGTGTAAGTCGATAATGTTCCTGAGAATTCCCTCATGTCTGCTAGTGAGTCAATCAGCTTGCGGTGGCTAATGACAATGATTACGTATTAGTTGGAGGGACCCAAAATTGCAGATGCACGACTCGGATGATAGCGATATCGCGAAGTCTGAATATATTGAGGAGACACTCTAGAGTTTTCAGAGTTTGAACTAATCAGTCGAGCCGGCAAACATGACCTTACAATTATGGTTCACCTCCCGCTGGCCATATAGCATTAATTTGTTTCATCTCTATTGTTTGAAAATTGTTCTTGTTGTTATCCCGCATGTCATCTGGCTTTCCTAGAACCGTCAAGAGCTTTCATCTTAATTGCATAATTGTTCGTCAGTTTAGTTGATATAGCGAGTGACTTTTAACCACGCATAAACATGACTCCGATATTGAAATCGCAGATGGAGGCTTTACCATCGTATTATATAATATACTAGCAAGATATCGTTCTATTAGACAAAGCTATCCTTTCCAGAAGCACCAAAAGCTGCTCCTACATATATTTCATAAAAACGTTTTGACACCTTCTATCTTAGCTCTAGCATCCAAGCTTCGAATATCGTTCAAGAGTTCCTATATCCCACTATCCACAAGTATCGCCGGCTGCTCCAAGATGAAAGCAGGTCCAGCAACAACAGATTCCTCCGTAGGTGCATCCAACTCATCCGCAATAACCGCCAAGATAATTCCCTTCAACTCTAGATCTGCAGGAAAAATTGTGCTATGACTAGTAACATCATACGGAACCGATAGTATCTCCAGCCCATGAAAGAAAACCGCATAATAATTTTTTCCCTCTTCAAAAATTGGCATCTCAATCCCATTACTACCTTTCTCATACACAAAAGTTAGATTGCCTCCCGCAGTGACATTCTCAGGGGTCTGTAACTGTGGTAAATGTTGACTAGGAGAGGGATACCCTGGATTCGCACGCGGACATGATTCATCAATAATAAATCGATTCGTCGAGTCTAAGATCTGATTCGCATACGGAAAACTTGTATCGATCGGTCCAGCAAATGGATCAACTCCCCAAACAGAAATCAAAGCCCACGTAGTATGCCGAGTCTCCGTTTCTCCAATCCCCATCAAGGCCCCCTTCGTCACATTCAAGTTTGCTTGCTGCACGAGTCCAGCCGCAAATACCATACTGGAAACTTCAATCAGGACTTGCATTTCGAGGAATTCGGTAGCGGTGCTCCACCCAAAATCGTAATCGCATGCCCCTGGTTTGATCGAGGTATTGGATATGGAATCTTGGAATATTCGCAGATGTCCAGCTTCGTTGTCCCGAATTTCTTGGATGCGATCGTAGGTATTGTTTGGGAATCCGATGGTCGTGAATGATGTAGTGTTTAGAGCTTCGACGGCTTGTTGGTAGAAGGAAAATACTGCCCATTCTGCTCCTAGGAGGTTTTGAAAGAGAAGGTCATCGGGTCCGGGTGGACCACTCCCTGTTGGTAGAATCGGCGAGGAAGAATTTGCTGGGAATGGTGCCGATTTACCGCGGTATGAACTGTAGTAGTTTGTTTCGCTGGGTATAGGACCATCAGACGGGTCTGAGATATTGAGAGATGCTGGATGAGCAACTGATAGGGTTATAGAGACTAGGATAGACAAGAAGACAAATTTGAATTGCATCACGAAAAGCTGTCAGCTCAAAGCTTAGTGAATGAAGTGTTGATATGAGTGCTCAAGTCGAAAGAATGAAAGAGTTGAGATCGGGGTTTGATATCCAGCGAAGGAACCTTTCTTATATGCATTCTATTGTTTAAGCAATAACAGACCTTAAACAGAATCATCATTCTTAATTTTCATCGATAGATTACCAAAATTTCGCCATCGCCGTAGATTTGCTCACCTATTCTGATGTCCCTCTCAGCTTCGTATTGACAACCCACTATGTATTACCATTTTATCGTAGACTACGAAGAGATTACCCATTTCACAATCCATGACCTATACCTCGAAAAATCATCATCAGCTTATTCTGATGATCCCGTATTGAGTTGCACAATCGGATATCCCTCGCCACCACGAAGCTAAGCCGTAACCACGTTACCTCTTCGGGTAATGAATAAGTTACTAGCAGCTCGTAGCGTCAAATCCAGCCGCATCGCTTATTATTAAAGTTCTGCACGAAGTGACATACATTTAGTTGCATATCACAATGAGAACTAAATGTGAATTTAGAAAACTTCTATTCCATTTTTGAAATGGGCACGTTTTGACTTATGGGTATAACATAAGACTAACCAAGGGACGAGTGAAAACCATACCACACAGCATAAATTGACAATCCGGATAAAAGGTGATGGATGTAATGAACAAAATGGTGGCGTGAAGGTTACGAGATTCAAAAGTCCTCGGAGTCTTGTGTCATTAGATTATAATCTGGTACATTGGAAATCGTGCGCTAAATAGAATATTGTATGTCATTTATCTCGTATCATATCAATCAACCCTAAGAATATTCGCTAGTAAACATATCACAGCAAAAGAGAAAGAAAATTTAATACATCTCAGGTCCATGCCAAAATAATGACCTTTCCACGCAACATTTTTTGGTATAAAGCCACCTACGCCCACCCACCTGCCGATCCTATCTCATTATTCATTAGACAATCTTCACCAAAGCCTCCCAGTCGCGATCTATTTCATCACAATTCATCCTTTTTCCCAACGACAGATTGGGTGGCCTCTCCCAGAACATTTCCCACACTATTAGCCATTTGCTCAACACCCTCACTCGCTTTACCGAGAGCCTCATTTCCACCTTCTCCAACTGATGATGCGAACTCTGTTAGCTTAGCCCGTGCTGACTCAACTGCTGCATTTAATCTTGATTGTGCACTCTCCACAGCCCCTTGTTCTTGGCCATAGATGGCTTCCGAAACTTTAGCTTGTGCAGCTGAATAGGATTCTGCAGCCGCGGAAGTTGCAGATGAAAAGTTCTCTGCTATAACCTGAGTTGCTGACTCATAAGTGCCAGTGTGTGTTCCGTAGATTGCTTCTGAAATTGCCTTTTGGGCGGAGGCAGCGGCGTTTGAGATTGAAAGTTGAGCTTGATCTGCATATCCTGATTGCGTACCATATATGCCCTCGCTCGCGGCGCTAGAGGCTGAAGCATAAGCAGAGGCAGCTGCTTCGGTAGCCTTTTCATAAGCACCCTTTTCGGTACCATAGTACTGAGCACTAGCAGCTTCAACAGCCTCGTTGAGGTGAAGGGAAGCAGCATCAAGAATTTCCTCAATTGCAGGAGGAGGGGTGAACATCGAATTAGCAACGGAACTGGCCGATGCGTAAGCTTGACTTGCGTAAGATGACGCCGAAGAAACTGCATCACCCGCACCCGTATAGTAAGCGGAACTCAATCGACTATAGACGCTTTCGGTGAAATCAGGTTCTTTTCCAACAACCAGTTCATTGATAAGTGATTGCACAGCTGAATATTGAGACGCCGCACCGTCTGTAGCTTGTGCAGCATATTGTTGCACATTTGAGAGGAAATTGCCAGTAACAAAATATGGTGTGGGGGATCCATAGACTTGATGACTAGCTTTCGTGATAAGAGCTTCCCAATTTTCGCTAGCGACAGAAGCAAGAGATTCAGGAAGTGGTGTTGCGCTACTGGAAGTGACCGCATTCATTTTTTGAGATATTTCGGAAGAAAGACTAGCGTAGCTCGCAGAAGCTTGAAATGATGCCTCAGCAAAACGAGAGGATGCAAGATCAGTAAACTTTGAAGCGGGTACAGCATCACTAGCAACATTGGATAGTTTTTCAATGATTGTATCAAGTCCTGCTTGGGCCTTTGCGACAGCACTAGAGTACTCTTGTGAGGCTTGAGATAGAGCTGCTTCGTACGCTGGTGTAGAAGTCCCGATAATATTGGCACTGGCTTTATCATAAATACTCATATGAAGTGGTGTCTGAGTTGGCATGACAGCTGAAGATGCTGCCTCGAGAAACTCGGAATATCGAACATGAGCTAGACCAATACCGGCGTAGTATTGATTTTGAGCTTGAGAGAGTAGTTGTTGAGCCGCTGGGGTAGGTGCGGGGCCAATGTGTTTCTTCGCAGCATCATATTGAGAAGAAGCAGCTTTGAGGCCCTCTGAGAGTCTTGATGCGGCTACTGATTGTATTGATTCTATGGCACCGGTGGGAGCGCCATACGCAGCGGTCGATGCGCCAGAAAGTGCGATCTGAAGCCTGGAACTAGCTACATTGACGGCATCGGTGTAAGCAGATTCAACAGAACTAAACATTTCCTGGTGAACTGGCTTTGCAGATCCCGAAACTTGAGCCGAGACAACAGATTTTGCTTGTAGGTAGTGATTCGATGCCCTCGACAATGCGTCGCTGTAGACAGATTTAGCTGAACTTGCGGCGGAATCCAACTTTGGTGCAGGTGTGCCATAAATTATGGAGCTTGCGCTACTTGATGTCAGTGGATTGGGGGATAATAGCAAGTGGTAATTGAGAAACTTACGCAGCAACAGCATCAGCATAACGACTTGTGGCGATACTAGCAACACTTTCACTAGTCCCTTGTTGCGTCCCGTATAAAACAGAACTCGCGGCAGCCAAAGCACTAGAATATTGCTCAGCAGCGAGCTTAGTTACACTCTCCACAGATCCTTGTGTACTGGTTGGTCTCAGCAATGCTTCACTGACTGCTCTTGTCATGTCACTGAATTGATCACCAGCCACGCTTGCCATACTTTGTATTTTCTCACTGTAAGTTTCCTCGTCGGATTCATCAATGGCATCATCAAAAACAATCTGTCGTGCCTCAACGTGAGCTGCCATTGCTCCACCCCACACTTTCTTGGATGCTGTGCTCGAAGCGACCGAGGCAGATGAGCTTAGGGAGCTGGTAGCATCGGTTGCACTCTTTGATAACGAACTGGCAATAGATGACGATGCTGACCCAAGAGATTGGGATACCGTTGAAGCTTCATCCGAAATTGCACTGCTGACGTAGGATATCGATGAACTTGCCGCATCGGAAACACTGTACGCAGAACTGGAAATGACAGAGCCTGCAGATTGAACGCTGCTTGAAACTTGGCTAACAACTCCCGGTTGCTCGCCAATAATAGACGATGATACCTGTTGCGAAATACTACCGAATTTTTCACCAACAACAGAGCTAACACTTTCAATACTTCCTTGAGGTGTGCTAATAACACTAGAAGAGATGGATGAAGCCGCCTGACTGGCTACTGACGAGACATATTCTAGAGTTCCTTGTGTGGTACCGGCCATAGCATCAGTGGCCTCATTGGTCTTTTCCATGACCTTTTGGCCAGCGACTTCAACTGCGGGTGGCACATATTTAGTGCTGAAATCTTCGCTGGAATCGCCGGTTGATATCTTCCATTTACCAGTTTCCTTTATGCGAGATAATTCAGCTGCTGCATCTCCAGCAAGACCCATTGCTTTACTCTCCACGTCTTCCGAGGCTGCTCGAGCTTTCGCAAGACCTGGATGATCAGTGACGACCTTTTCAACATCAAGTCGCCATTCTTCAAATTTACTCTTCAACGCATGATATTTGGTCCAATCTTTATGGGTTATTCCATCTGTCCAGGCCCATCGCATTCCGATTTCTTGCAAACCTAAGTCCCTGATATGATCAATGATATCAAACGTATCTTTGACTGATTTCCCAATAAGTGAATTTGTCTCCGAATCAAAGCTTTGTCGCCAAGTTCGGACGGCTTGGGCCTTTTCCTTAATTGCAACTCCTGCTTTTCGGACAGCAGTATTGAGCGATTCTTCAGATTCTTCGGTATCTTTCTTGGCATTGACGATTGAAATTATAGTAGACTTGAGCGACTCGAGATTCGACTTGATAGCCTCCTCCAATTCGATGAGTAGAGCAGATCCTACTTTGTTGGCTTGATTTTGAACCAATCTCTCGGTGATCTCAGTCACTCTCTCATCGATTTCGTCGGAACCTTCATCTGCCGCCTTAGAGAATTTTTCTTGCCAGGTTGTTAGATCTTTTGCAACCACGTTTCGAGCATTTTCCCTGATCTCATCTTCACTCAAAGGGGTCTTTGTTGGTGATTCGGTAGAGGAAGGAGAAACTGAAGAAGTAATGGAGGTCGAGGATGAACTTGTAGCGTGCGCGTATGAAATGGACGAGGATATTGATGAGAGTGTGGAAGAGGCAAAGGAAGCAGACGAGGAACTAAATCTGCGTAAGCTAAAATCTAATAGATACATCTAACTGACTCACGAATCAACGCTGTCTACCACAGCCTGTAATTTTTTGCCATCCCTATATCTACCTAATCTCTCTCCAATTCGTACTAACTGTGGTTCTACGTTCTCACCATACAAGATTCTCAATTTGGGCCAGACCTTTCTATCCAAAAATACCCCCGTCGAAGTCAAGGCCCACTTTGTATATGGAACTCCGGTGCCTACAACAAACTCATTTGCGTATCCGTAGCCCTGAATGGCATATGGCTGTACAATATTGAAGGTCGGAACGATGTGTTCATGATATGTCTGCGCAGCATTTGTTTTGGCCAGATCAAAATATGGTCCACTGGCAGCAGTGACTTTGTTCCAATGTGGAGCTAATGTTTGATCGTATTTGGCCTTGGCAAGACTCTGATATT